ATTTAAATGATAATTACAAAACATCATATTTCCCTAAGAGTGCTAGATTTGATCATTCTGTCAATGTCAGTCATATTTAAAGACCAAGGAGAGGGAGTGTTTATGATCAAACCTCCGAACATTTGATATCCCTAAAAAGCCCTGAATGTGCTCTGAACTGGACATCCAGACTTCAAACTGTGGCATGTAGGGTCTCAGAGAAATTCACTCAAATATAATGTCCTCAGAGGACAAAAGTCTATGCGTGGGTCGCAGGAGGATATAATGCACTGAAGAACAGCAGGTGGCAGTAATGCAACAAATCGGATGCCAACTTCCGTAAAACCCCGACGAAGGAGAAGAAGAAGAAGAAGCGCTCAGATCGGATCAGATGATCACACACCGTTTGAAAAACCGCGGGAAACGGACGACACGCACTTTCTCCTGCTTCGTTTAAACTTTCAACTCACATAAGGTAACATTTTAACACAAAATATATACAATATATAACATTTACAAATTCCCCCAGAGAGTTTTCTCCAGTTTATTTCCTCATAATATATGTTTGAACATGAATAAACAAAAATCAATGCAAACTGTTTTTTGAAATGCTGTAAATGGGAGTAAAAGCTTGTTGTGACCGTTATCTGTGAAGGAAAGAAAGAAAGAAACTTACACCTTCGTGTATGAACACCAAAGGTGTTTGGATCAGTGCTGTTTTCACTATAGGTTTTATGTGCCTGCTGAAGAGGAGAATATTATTGGATGCACTGTATAAAAAGATAGGTAAAATACCGGCAGCTGTAACTTTACCTTAAAAAAAATATGGTATCAACATTTTAGGTTTTACAGACTTTATTATCTGATATAATGTTAATATACCAACCTATTGAAGTACTAATATCTGTTTTGTACCAATTAAATACACTGATAACCTCCAAAAACAGGTGATGAGAAAGTCACATGATGAAAACTCATCACAAACAGTTTTTCCACAAGCTGAGGGGAAATATCAGAGGCTCTAGACTCACGATTTGGTCGCTTTTTTTCTTTTTCTTTTTTGCCACAACACGGGATTAATCAATGCATGCCGATTAATAGTTTTTTCCCGTGAATAAAAAATGGACGGACGAGGCATGGGCGGCATACACAGCATGCTGTATTATATCAAAGACTATAGATTACCTTAAAGGGACTTTGATTATATATCGACTAATAAATTACAGAAAGTTTAGCAAACACTGTGGAATCAAATAAATAAGAAAAAATAAAATAGCGCCTCCAGCATAACGCCAGGAAACCGCAAATATAACAGATAATTTGAACGAAAATAACTTTTCAAAATGAAAACAAAAAGAAAGTTGAAACTAAATTGGCTGTCGGTGACCAACATGTTCACCTTCTCTGGTTAAGAAGCGGTCTTTTACTTTACTTTTACATTTCGCTTGAAAACCATCCGCCATTGTTTCCTCAGTACTTGCGTCATTTTGCCGCGTTATTTATATATATATATATAAGTACAGAAGGTGCACAGTGTCACCATCATGGGAACACACGTGATACTGAAATAATGCAAAAACCATTAATTTAACAACATTACATGCAAGATAAAACCCTAATGTACACAACTGACAAGAAAAAAACTAAGAAGAAACAGTTATTTCAACGAAAAAACATCAAATGTGAAGTGTCATGCAGGGAATTCTGGGAATGTTATTCACTGTAAATTATACAATGACGTTCTTTTTCACTTCCAAAATCAGTCATTTTAATAGTATTTTACTGTAAAATTGCTTTCATGAATGAGGATCTGCTGGACGAAAATGAACGAATGTGTCTGCATTAAATGCTCGCTTAATTACTGAATACTGTGCTTGAGATAATTTTATCAGATGTAACTCATTAATCGTTGGGCTCATCATTTGTATTTGTCCTCTTCACAGAAACACTGACTTGCCAACATCACTCTTGATCATCATCGCCATGAAGAATAATAGCATTTTGAAATACTCTGAGGTGACAAAATGCAAAACATCAAGAAGCATGGATTATATATCTTATTTATAAAAATACATTTTCAAATTTCTTTGCTTGGCTATTTAACATTTACTAGTTTCTTATGTTGAACATTGTATTGAATTGTTTAGACAGTGTAAATGTGAAGTTTGTTTTCTATTTCAGAAAAAGCAGCCTGGGAGTAACACTGGAGATAGAAGGGAGTCACAAACTGCTGACAATACTCAGGTAAGCTCATGATATTTAAATAATAATGATTCAGGTCTAAAAAGTTATTTTAGGTAATTGCTCATGTATCTAAAAAACAGCCAATGAAGACATGCAGGTCATGTAAATGAGCGAGCGCAAGTGAACCAGTATATATTTTTTAAAAATAAAAATACTCACCCATGGAACACAAAAAGGTTAAGTAGAACTTCTGAAGCCTGTGTGAGAATCAGACAAAAATATAAGTAATTATTCCAATATTAATTTCAAATGCTAAAAAATTTTCCCCTCCGCATTTGGTTTTGCATGTATATTCAAAGAGTTTCAGTAAGTAACACATTTCAGTCACTTCCTCACACAAAGCTAATGTATGGCTTTAGAAGACTTGCAATATAACAAGTATGACCTACCTTTTTCTCACTCTGATATTCCTGTTTTTATTTTCATTTGGGCATCAGAACACATCTTGAGTGAAATAGTGCATGTTACAGAAACTGAGAATCTTTGAGTGTACTTTTGTGCGTGGCAGTATTATAAAATTCAATGTTAATTCACACTGTAAAAAATTTCAAGCCGTTTCAACGAATTATTATTTAGTAATAAGTTCCACAGAAATTTCACATTCAGTCAATTTCTGTCTTCAAAGTGTTGCCTGGGAGGGCGCAATGAGCAAAATAATGCAGCACATTTAAATTGTCAAAGCAATGAAATATCTGTCTATAAAAAAACGTGCATTACATCTAAACTAACTCATAAAAATCAAATATAATTTCGTAAATTGCATAAACTATTATGAACAAAACAGCATCATGTATTTATGCATTGCATAATCCAAAGAGCCGAAGCGCCATTCACACAGACTGCATTTAAAAACATGAGACGCAGCGAAAAGGAATAAACCTCCACAAATTTGTGACACGTTTTCTAAAAGTTTAAACTGTTTTAACTTTGCATGGCTTTCTATACATCTCTTGTGTGAGACGCGAGTGCAGCAGTCATTTGTCCGTCTAAAAAATGCGCTGAATATATTATTGAATGAATAACGCAACAGCGGCGCGTCTCGTGGGCTAGACTAACAAAACATTAAAATGAAACGTCATTTACATCAACATCACCGCATCTCGACCGCCACTAATGACGCTCCCTGATGCACACCTAACATTCAAATGCAAGTTAAACAAAATGTTTGCAAACAAACATTTACAAATATTACTACTGTTCACAATTACATCTTTAAAATGAGGCAGAAGTCAGAAAAAAATTAATGAACCTGGTGTTACAGTTCAACTGAACTGAGTCAAGTAAATTCCAGTCACTGTATTTACATAGTGCTTTTTACACTACAGATTGTGTCAAAGCAGCTTTACAATATTAAACAGAAAAATCGTGTGTCGAAGGAACCAAAACTCCATTGTTCTTCTCTGGCCAGACGAATCCAGCAGTTTAATTGCAGGCTGCAACACAGGTCAGATTGTGCAGAGGACTGGTCTAGGTGACGAGGTCTTCGGAGGGGATCTGTCTCTGGGGCTCATCTAGTTGTACTGGTCTCCGCTGACCTTCAGGGCTGTCGAGGGCGTCTCTAGGTCCTGATTCACTATCTGATCTGGATACAGACTGGATCTGGTGGCTACAGTGACCTCGGAATAAGAATGAGACAGTCTAATATTAGCGTAGATGCCACTGAGAACAATGAAGCACATTTTAATTGTAGTAAACACTCTAAACTTTTCCACATATTACTTTAAGTCTTAGTGTTGAAAGGACACACACACTATGTAGTTGCAGTGGAGCAGTCTGGTCACATGGCAGTGTTTGGAGCCTTGGAAGAAGTGACAGGCCAGCATCTGAAAACTTGCAATGATGAGAACGCACCAATGAAACCTTTGGCCACACCCTGATGGAGAAATAAAGTATAATTTATCTCAAGAAATTAAATGATGCCTTTTAAATCATTTAAAATGTAATATCAGTTAATTATATTTGTGATGAAACAGAACCTTTTTTTTTTGGCACACAAAAAAATCTCAATCCATCGCACAACAAAGGGAGCATTGATGTTGACTGTTCATTAGTTGCAAGGATTTGTAACAGAACATGCACATTTCATATTATAAGTCTACCTTAAACAGCATTAAAATAATATCAAAATATGCCTGCCTGTTGTTGATAAATACCAGTGGTGACGTTTTACAAATTGATTGATCAATTGTCCCAATGTTTACTAAGCCATGGTCTCTTTACCAGTGCAGGGACTCGTGTGCACGATCTAGTGATTCTCTACCTAGGGAACTGACTGAGACGCAGTCTGCTTTGATAACAGCCTTGTGAAAGGATTCTATTCTCGTTCGGAACGACAAACTCCTCTCTGAAGCGCCTTCACGAGACCAGAAATGCTGTGTAATCCACCCCGTTTGAAAAGAGCCTGGTTGTTAGTCACGTTTAATGTCGACTTTTAACTTCACGGGACAATTGCAAAAGTTTGCACACGCAAAAACCCATTCAACACGCCCATGTTAACTTCAAATAAGCGTATTACTGTGGTTTACATTACACGTTTCGTCGTAGTAAGCATTGGCATATAAAAGAGAGAGACCGCACAATCTCTTCATATCTTTTAATGTCACGGAAACACAAAAATATCATACAACACG